CTCTCTCTCTCTCTCTCAATGCCTTCCTCCTCCTGACCCTTCTTCCGGATGCACAGACTGAGAACCCCTGAGGAGAAATTCTAGACTACAGGCCCAGGACTGCACAAGGGCTCATTCTGCCTCTCTACTATCCTGGCTTTGCCCGCTGGACCCCTCTTGGTGCTGTAGTGGCTGCCATAGGCATCCATGCCACAAAGCCAGAATTTCAAGCCAGGGCAGGAGCAAGGGGAGGGGGAGATTCTCAGGATTGGGCAGCAGAGGGAGGGTGAGTCCAGAGCCTGAACAGTTTGGGAAGGCTTGGTTTCACAAGCCCTGACCCTCAGACAGCTTATCACTTGCATCAAACAAGGGCAATAAACTGTGCCCCTCTCTTCTGGGTGAACTCCTGGAATCCCCTCATCCTCTTTGCCCAACTCAGCTCATACCCACACATATTCACCACTCCCATTACTCTTGAGAACAAGACTGTCCACAGAATTCAGAGCACACCAATACCATTGGCTTCCCAAACTCTTAAATTCAGAGCCCACCTCAATTACTTATCCAATGGTAGGTGTGGGTACAAAAGAGAAATAGGATGAAGATAAAAAGAAAACTGGCACACAAAAGGCCTGCCAAGAACTTCAGACACTTGCCAACAATGAGCTCCTAACTCCCAGGGAACCAGTGTGTCCAAGGAAATAGGTGCTCATAATATCTAAGACATTTTGGAGGGAAATGAGACAGAGCATCTTGTACCACAGTTAGAGGTGGAAACATGTTTTATCTGAGGCTTCAGCACTGAGAGGAGTTGGGTTCTGATGTACACACAGGTGACCAATTTGTGGCCTGAGAACATAGTGATTCTTTAAGTGTGTGGCACAGAAGGTCACCTGCCATCTTCCTTTGGTGACAGGGAAGTCATTATTTATTGGGAGTATTTCATTCAATTGTGGATATCAGCAGGAAAACTAGGTCCTGTATTGAGACTTTCTCTGTGAACAGTGACTAGCAGGGTTAGAGATCCAGCCACTCTGTGACCATGAATGAGTGGTGAGTCTATGGCCCAGCCCCACCCTACCGGCTCATGCAGTCCCTGAGATCCAGTCTCTTTAATCTACTATGGAAGTTAGCAGAGTTGGGGCTCAGGGCCTATGGTCATGCCTGTGTCACCATGGGCAGGGTCTGTGGAGGGGTCACAATGAGTGCCCTGCTCTGTGGGAGTTTTCTGTGGCTGCTGAAATAGATCACTGCACTACAGTGACTCAAAAAAGCACATGCATTTATTCTGTCACAGGCCTGGAGGTCAGAAGTCCAAAATGCATCCTGGGAATTTAGAACCAAAGTGTTGGGAGGCCAGGCTCCTTCTAGGGACTCAGGAAGAGACCATTGCCTGAGCTTTTCCAGCTCCCAGAGAACATCACATCCCTAGACTCCTGATTCATTCCTCTAATTTCAAAGCCAGCTGTGCAGCATCTACCAATCTATTTTTATGGCTTTCTCTGTTCCTCCCCCCTCTCTCCTCTTCTCTCTCCCTCTCCCTCTCCCATGTTCTCTTCTTTCTCTTCCCCTACTCTCTCTCTCTCTCTCTCCCTCATCTCCTTCCATTCTCACATTCCTTCTCTTATACTGACCTCCCACCTCCCTCTTTCCCCTATCTTGGACCACCCAGATAATTTGGGATAATCCTCCATCTCAGGCCCTTAACATCATCCCCTGGGCAAAGTCCCTGTGATTACAGACATTCACAGGTTCCAGGACTAGGAAGTACTATTCTTAGGGGCCATCATTCAGTTGAGCTCAGCTTTGATCCTAATTCCCTGGGGATTAGAGCAGATTTCTCCTCAATTCCTCTCCCTTTCTATTTCTGTCCATCCCCAATCTGGGTATTTCTGGGGCTAGCCCAGTCTCATCCCTCCCCACATGCCTGGTCTTCCACAGTCCCTACTTTGTCTAGGATCACAGGTAAGGAACTATGATTTTAGTCATATCTCTGAGACATTTTCTTTCCATTACTCCCTGGGTCTACTTCTCTGTCACCAAACTGCCCTTGGAGGAAGATCTTATGAGGATCTTCAGTCTTTGATGGAGACACCATGGCCCAGAGTCTCTGGGTGATTTGTCTGGCAGAAGTATATCACTGGGCTGCCATCTCCCTACTCATACTATACTGTCTAATCTTTCACCCCAGAGGACACACCTACCTCCTACTTACCCTCCCTGGATCCCTTGCTCAGGTTACCCACAGGCTCTCAATTATGAAACCTGAAAGAGCTTTTGTCTTTTCCTTAGACAGAGGTATTCTAGGGTAAGATTCTTATATGGTACATCCTCCCATATTAAACCACCAGACCTAATTTGTTTGTTTTAATAGAAGATGTAGAAACTGGTGTCAGAAAAGTAAATAGTTGGGCTGCGGATGTGGCTCAAATGGTAGTGTGCTCACCTGGCATGCATGCGGCCCAGGTTCGATCCTCAGCACCACATACCAGCAAACATGTTGGTTCCACCAAAAAACTAAAAAATAAATATTAAAATTCTCTCTCTCTCTTTCTCTCTCTCTTTAAAAAAAGTAAATAGTTTATTGAACAAAATTTTGCATTTTTGTATCTATGATGTTAAGGAATGAATATTTTAATTTTTTGCTAGGACCCTCATTTTACTCAAAAGTAATTAAGGAGTTTCTCCAATTTGTTTGTTTGTTTGTTTGTTTTTGTCTA